AAGCCAGCTGACCATAATCTGTAACACTGAGCCAAAATAAGCCTCTCATCTTTTAACTTCTCTGTGTTAGGCATTTTGTTCCAGTGACAGTAAAGTCCCTAATACAGTATCACAATTTGGATTTAGGTTCACCATTCACCTATATTCTTTGGTGTATTATAGATAAGTCACTTTTTCTGTGGATACATTGTTTCAGCAAGTGACACTTAACTGACAGGAAAGAGTGATGGTCCTTTACAATTTATACTTATAGCCCCAGGGTCCAGATCAGTGACTGATACAGGACAGGCATTCAGTAAGAATAGAAGGAATGAATGCATTGTTAAAACCATATCTTGTCTATGTTGGGGCACACTAGACATGTGAGACCTTGGTTAGTTCATATCTGTTCCATGCAGGGCCATTACTCTGTGAGCTCTCTTCTCTTTTGATGGGAGAGTGACAATTTAGCCTCACTTGCATTTCTAAGATTTCTAGCAGAAAGTGGGGAAGGACTAAGTGTCAGGAAGCAGAAGTCTAAAAACAATAGGATCGATCAGACTTCAATCAGTAAAATGATCTTCTATGCCTGGCTTTTCTTCCTCTTTGTGCTTAAGGCTCATAAATCCTTCATAGTTTTTTATAAGTTGCATTTTAGTTTATCTTACCTAGGTCTAAAAATACAATGAAAATTTTGAGGCAGGATGTGAGAAGATAATGAGGATTTAGATATTCCCAAGCTGAGTGAAACAAAAATTTGGCTGATTGGCAGGTTTCATTTAAAAGGATGTCAAACATGCATAACATTTTAGTCTTAAATGATTCTGTCTTCCTATACCCTCCAAGACTCTTGAACATAGGTATATAGTCACAGTGTTTCCATTTAGATGAGTGCCTTTCAAGTTCAATAATGAAATGCTGGGCCAGGAATTTAGCCCAGTGGTTCCGCCACCTACTCACAAGTTCAAGGTCCCAAGTTTGATCCCCAGTACCAGAAAAACAAAACAAAACAAAAGCATGAATGGCCACTTCACAGTAGTCCTGGAAAAGGTCAAGACAAGTGTATACTAGCAGGTTTATTCTCAGGCAAGGGAATGATACTGAGATAGATTGGCAGAATTTCATAGCTTCCCCATCTGTTATACCAGACAATTAACAGTGATTCCTGCCTCTTTTTTAGAGGTGTGTGTTTGTCAAGTGCATATCAGATATGAAGAAATGGAAGACTATTGGATATACCATATTTTCTAAGAGCCCCTTGGCACATGTCATTACTTATGGCTTTTTGAAGATCTTGGGTCTGACCCTCAGATGTGAGCTTTGTCTGTGGCAGGAAGCCAAACCTGCTCCAAATCAAATGCTCCATTCTTTCGATCTTCATGGATAAAAGACATATACAAAAGAGCTGTTTAAGCCTGTTGTTCAACTGAGGGGAACTGATTTTGTTACTCCAAGCCTGACTACTTCTGGCCAGCTATTCCATTAAATGAAATACATCATGGGAGGAGACAATTTGTTTCAGATCTGGATTATCTCTGCCAGACCCCAAACCACTGAAGAGATGGAGTATCCATTAAGAACTACCTCCTCCCCCTACCTGACTCTTATTCCCTAGTCTGGCAGCTGTCCACAGAGATGAGCTGTGGGAAGTGAAAGAGAAAGGAAGAAATAAAGAGTTGCTGACCTGAGTCATATTCAGCAAGGTGACCTGATGGGGCCCTTGGGTCCCATTTGCTGCACCTGCAGCTTATCGCACTAGACAAGCATATGGTCCAGAAAGCCTTCCAGTGGGACCTTTGTGCCCTGCTCCAACTGGTGAAGAAAACATCTGGCTAAGCGATTATTTTGACTCCTGAGGATGCTGAGGTTTCCAGTCAGCTGGCCCTGGGTCCCTGAGAACATGACCCTTATTCACATTCCCTTGTGTATACATATACAAGATATTTGTGAATTATCTTCTATCTTCAGTGAGAGCTAAACAAAGAATAAATAGGTGAGAAGTACATATAAGGAACTTGGTAGGAAAAATGTGTAAGATCTTGGATCAGGTTACTTAAAGGAAGCCAAGAATCTTTCTAGAGCAGAAAATGTATTGGAATCACTTGGAGAGCTTAAAAGAATGCGAATTCCCCAACTCTCCAATCTCCTTTTCCATTGTGATGTACACAGGAACAGGTGGAAACATGCACATTTTGAAAAATTTCCCTGGTTTTGAAATGTATGTTGTGTTCTCTTTCCCCAAGGCAAAGGAGAACCACTATTCTGGACATTTTATTTTTATTAAAGGGTTAAAATTTAACATACTCAGACATGAAGCAATGCTTTTTTCTATGTAAGTTCTTAATGTTATGTACTTAAAGCTGAATGGAAATTGCCACTGTAGATGAATACTGAGAATTTGATTGCAGGAAATGTGTCATGTTTTAAAAAACTATTATCTTTTAAAACATGCATATTTTATGTAATGATGAACTCAATTTGATTAGCATACCCATCATTTCAAACCTTACTCATTTTCTTGTGGTAAGAACATTCAAAGCCCAATGTTCTAGCTATTTTGAAATGTTTAATAGTTATAGTTATTATAGTTATTATAGTGTAATACAATGCCCAAACTTATTCCACCTAATTGTAACTTTGTACTCATTCATTGTGTATCAGTTAAAAAGTCTTCTCTGAAAGCCATATACTTCCTAGAATTTCCAGTTTCCCAGATATCATATCATTTATCCCTACTATGTTGAGCAAGGTTAACAAAAGTCAGATTTCTGTTTGGGAAATGTTAGTTCATGAAATTAACCTATTAGCAAAGATTCATGTGGTAAATTGGAGCATAGCAGAGAATATTATTCAGGGCGTCTGCCTTCCAGTATTAGGTTTTATGTATTGGTGCTCCTAATTTTTCTTTTTTACTTTAAGAAAAAAAATGCTATCAAAACGTTTCATGAAGTGGTCTACCATTTGCATAAAACTACCTGTGGTGTTTGTTAATTCAGGTTCTTTAGTGCTTTGGCTTAGACCAAGAGCCAGAGACCTGCTGATCTGCATTTTATGTAGCTTCTCAGGCTGATTTACTTTTGAAAATATATTATGAAATATTTCAGAAGTATAAACTACTTTGCTTCAAAATAGAATATGTTGAATCCATACAGTTGAATCCCTTTTCATACCCTGAGCATGTTCTCTGGTCTCCAAAAATATAACTACTATCTTGATATTCAAAAGTCACTTTATCAAATGTAGCTACTTGTCTTCTCATTTTCCTGTATGTCTCTAGTACACACTAAAATATAAGAAACTCTGCTTAGCTTTATTCCTGGTGTTTCTTTTTTCTTTCTGAAATTCCCTTTTCTTACATTTCTGCCTGTAAACATTTATTCATCTATCTTGGTTTCTTTTTAGCTCTTTCACAGACAGTAAGGAGTATTGTGTCTACTTCATGTCACCTTTTTCTGTTGTCTTTCCCTCTATCAGTCAGTTTGCTTAGCTTACCAAGAGTAGATATACAGTAATAATTTTGGATGGAACTTGGCTTCAGCTTTACACAGACTTGATTCTACTTTCTGGTGTTTTTCTTTGTTTTGTTTTGTTTTTTACAATTTGTGTGCTATCTACTAATTAGTTCAGCATCTCTAGGTCTCTTGACCAAAATGTTCAGAAATAAGAATTTCTTCTAGCCCATGTCTTCATGCCATCTACAATGTCAACCATTACTGGACAATCAATGAATTTGGCTGCATTTTTTTGTCAGATGCCAATGCTTGGTCTACTTTGCTGTGGCTAAAGGAGAGATAGGATAATTGAATTTAGCCCATAAGAGAGAGAGAGAGAGAGAGAGAGAGAGAGAGAGAGAGAGAGAGAGCTATGGGTGAGGTAGTTGCCCTTAGAAGACTATTGGAAAGTGGTCCCAAATTTGTATCTCTGGTTGGAAGAGTAAGATAACCATTAACATCCCACAGATATAGGATAGCATCCCTATAGTAGCTAAATGACTCAAACAAAAGGGGAAAAAGGACAAGGGGCACAGTGGAAGGTATTAGAAACCAAAGAAGGGAGTGATGCTTGGCTCGAAACTGAAACAATATTTTGAAGAACAGGGAATAGTGTTTTAGCTGGCAGAAGTCTACTTAGCACATATGTTTTGTGTAGATTTTAATGTGGCAACTAACTTGAAGTTACATCAGAGGCTATTTTCAGGTTATATGGAGTTACACGACATTTAGAAGATTAACTTTAGGAAAGTATAGTGATCCTTACACTGTTATTCTCCATAAAAAAAGATCAAGTTAGAAGAGGTTGGAGAAGCCAATGTAGCCTTATGAATTATTATCAAGGTACTTTGGTCATTAAATATATATTGCTTTATCTCAACCTCCAATACTACTCTATTTTTTCCTTAAGTATATTGGTACATTTTAGTATAAAATATAATGGCATTCGTCACTGGAAATTTGTACCTTTACATAATCCATCTTGGTTTTTCTTTCGCATTACCCTGCCCTCCCTTCAACACCACCATCCCTCCCTACTTACAAAGATTTTATTTCCATTATTTCTCATATTAATTCCATTCCCTTCTTTCTTTTTCCCCAATCCATCCCACTTCCCCTTTCCCTTTGGACCTTTTTTCCCATTTCACATTATCAATTATAAAATTTTTATTCTTATTTACACTTTTAGTTTTTCACGACAGAGAAATATTTGGTATTTACATGTGTGTCCTATTTATTTCACTTGAGTATGGCCTTAATGTTCATCCACTTAGCTATTAATATCTCTAGTTTCTCATTCACTACTCTCGTTTTTAATGAGTTGTCCCTCCCACTATCTACTACATTTCACCACCTGTGACATGGCAAAGAAATGATTGTGGGACACTATCATAAAAATTTAGAATAAAAGTGAAATTGTAAGTTCTGAGTGAAGGAAGCAGCATTTGAGGTGAGCTAGTCCAGGCTGGGTATGGGGTGACAAAAGACCTGTTATATTTTTTATGCCTGTGTATGTGTTTTTCTTTGCAGGACTGCTGATAAGCTCAGGCTGTGCCTTATATCCCTTAGGATGGAATAGTCCAGAGATAATGCAAACATGTGGAAATGTCTCCAATCAATTTCAGTTAGGTAAGGAGTCCTGGGAGGGATAGCATGATGGGCAATATGTTTTCCAATACTTTACTTCTTAGAGGAGTCTCTGCTCCTTAGTAGTATTTGCCTGAATCTCTTGTGCTTTTAGCTTGTGGAAGATAGTGGTCTGGTCAATTTATCTGGCCTCCATAACTCCTAAGGGTTTTCTGTAAATTTTCCTTCTTGAACTCTTTCTCCATGTGATTTATGCACTTGTTCCTAGATTTGCTTGACCAGTTTGAAGCAACTTTGTGTATTGAGGAAACTCATGATGTGTCATCTTCTGAATAAATACTAGCTACTATTAGTGTTTTTCCAAGTATAAGTGAACGATATCTCATATCATTTCCAATGAGGATATAACTAGAGGTGATTTAGTTTACTTGAAGCAAGGGAAACAGGATTAAGTGTTAGACATTGGTCCTAATGGCAAGAGCTATTATTTTTAGAACAACTTACAGATACAGGTCTAGACTAGATCATTCTTTGCCAACGCTTAGTATAGCTTAGGATTATGATTATGAATTGATAATATAACTGTATTAGACTCTAATTAGAAGACTTCAAAATATTTCCCCAACCTACCATGCCATCATGATGGAAGAGAGAAAGACAGGGAATTTATAGGTTTCATTGAGTATTCCCATTTGTAGGGAAGGACTTGGTAACAATGAGATCACCTGTCAACTTATAGCCTGTGCTCCAATGCCTCCCTTTCTCTTTGTTGTCTTAGACTATTTTATTGAATCTTGTCTGTCCCATGTTTGGAGGAAAGAGTTTTTCTCTGTACAAACATAACACGAGGGCAGTGTTATGTAGAAAACATGAACGTCTGGAGGCTAAAATGTCCAGTGTTCTGACTCAGGCAGAGATAACTGTGAATATAACAATCCCACCACAAGGGATGGAATAAAGAAATAGTTTGGGAAAGTGATAAAGACAAAAAAAAGTAAATAATTGACCTTGTTAGCTGGACTAGAGAAAGCTTTTTTTTTAAAGAGAAAACACATTTCTGCTCAGATGTAAGACATGTTTCTACATTTAAAAAATGTATTCTTTTATTGATTATACTTCACATATCATCAAATTCGCCCTGTATAAATGTATAAGCAATGCTTATTGGTGTATTTACAAGGTTGTATAATCATCCCCACTCTCTGTTTTGAGAACATTTTCATCCACACAAAAATAAACTCCCTATCCATTAGTAGTCAGTCACTATTCTTTCTGCTTTTAGCCCCTGGCAACTACTATTCTGGATATTTCATATCAACTAAGTCATATAGCAAATATTTTGAATACCCTTTTTCAGTTAACATAATGTTTTCAAGATTATCCATGCTGTAGTGTATGTTTGCATTTTGTTGATTTCCATAGCTTAATGGTATTCTTTGCTATTAGATATACTGCATTTTTATCCATTTGTTAGTTGGTGGATACAGGTTTTCCTTTCACATTTTGACTATTAAGAATACTGTTGACATGGATATTATTGTACATATTTTACGTGTGCATTCATTTTGATTTTGGGGTTTGTTTCAAGGAGCAGGATTGATGGGTCAGATTGTAACTCCATGAGGAATCCTTTTGAGGAACTGCCATGCTTTTTTCCAATAGCTATGTACACATGTTCTAGCTTCCTAACATCTTCACCAAAGCCTATTGTTCATTTTTTATCATAGCCATCCTATGGATATGACACCATATCTCATTGTGGTTTTCATTTTCATTTCCCTACTGACTAATGAGTTTAAGGATCTTTTCATGTACTTATTGGCTATTAATATTTTTTTCTATGAAGAAATGTCAGTTTAAGTTTTTTATCTACTTTTATGATTGTTTCCTTTTTGTTAAGTTTTTAAAGTGTTCTATATACTCTGGATAATAGACCCTTTTCAGATATATTATTTGCAATGTTTTTCTTTCCTAATTTGTGGGTTGGCAGTTTAATTTCTTGATACTCTATAAAGTATGAAAGTGTTTAATTTTGACAGTATATTCAGAAGGTTTCAATTGGAGCGATCTTTGATACTCTTGTCGAAAATCAACTTTCCATAAAGTACTGGTTTATTTGTCTGACTCTTGATTCTATTCCCTTGCTTAGTATGCTTATTCCTATGACAATACCACACTCTGTTAATTAGTATAGTGAGCCCCTTTTTCCTCAAAATTATTGGGCTATTTTGGGTTTATTGCATTTCCATATGAATTTTCAGTTAAGTTTGTCAATTCCTACACAAAATCCAGCTTATATTTTTAAAATAGGGATAGTGCTCAATAGATATGTATTAGTTCAGGTCATATTACTACTGCAATATTGTTTTCCAATTTATGAATTTGAGATGATTTTCTATTTAGTGAGGTCATAGTTAATTCTTCTCAATGACATTTTGTTATTTTCAGTATAGAAATTTTTGGTTAAACTTATTCCTTAAGTATTTATTTTGAAATTTATTTTAATTGAACATATATAATTGAATATATATAATTATGCATATATGTGTGTATGTATATATAGATAGACAGATAGATAGATATCCCCAAATATATACACACTTCAGGAAAATAAAAACTTGTATGAATACTTTAATATATACCAGACACTGAGTCCTCCTAAACTGACTGCTTTGTCCAAATGCATATTAGGATTTTCATGATGTCCCAACAAATTTAGTACTACAATATTTATTTATTTTTCTTTTCCTGAAGTGTGTATACCATTTTTGGCAGACTCTGTACATTTACTTGTGGGACACAATCTGATGATATCAATCATGTATATTGTAGAATATTTAAATCAGGATAATTAACATAGTTTAAAAATTTTTATCTTTAGATTTCAGATTGTTAGTGTCCCGAAATACAAATGATTTTTTTCTCAGTTATTTTATTGTTACATTTTAGGTATACAGTACAGTCACATTCATCATTGGGATCTTGTACCTGTGCATGATAGGTTTTGGTTCTCATTTTTTCCCCTTATCCCTGCCCACCCTTTTTGTATACTGACCTTTTATCCTGAAACGTTAGTAAATGTTTTTTTTTTTATTGAATTTATTGGTATACTTTAGGGATACAGTGCAGTTACATTCATTGTTGGGATCTTGTACCTCTACATGCCAGGTTTTGGTTCTCATTTTCTCCCCTTGTCCCTGCCCTCCCTTCACCCCCTCCTCCCCTCCCCATTTACAACACTTTATTTCCATCTTTTCATTTTCCCACATTTTTTTCTTTTCCCTTATTACCCTTCCCCTACCCATGCCACCTTCCCTACACCTTTAGCTTTGTTCTCCCCATTTCTCAATGTCAGTTATCTCATTAGGATCTTATGTTTTTATGAAATGTAATGGATAATATTTTCTAATATATTATCTGAGAAAAAGATGGCTTAATTTTTCCTCTGCAATCTGGATACATTTTGTTTCTTTTCCTTAACTAATTGCCTGGCAAGAACTTACAGGACAAACATGAATATAACTTGTAAAAGCATAAACCTTTGTCTTATTCTTAGTCTTGGAGGTAACATATCCAATTTTTCACTGTTAATATCAATATTTTTAATCACATTTACCACAAAATTGTTATTTTTTCTTTATTTTACTAATTTTTGTTACAATTTCTCTCTCCTTTACATCCTCCTCCTTTAGTAATAATTCTGTCTTGTAACATATGTCTTCCTGAAGGCTGTAGCTCCCTCCTTTTCAATGCATTGGATTCTGTATTCTGTGAATACCTAGAATTGAAAGGATTACTGAATCAAACCCCACAGCCACCTTTATTCAACTACCTTTTAATTTTTCCAAATTCATTAAGTGTCTTTTATCCCTCCCCTGTCCACCTTTTCTGCCCATACTATCCAATATCATGTCCTCATATTAGAAACCTTCTGACAAATACTGAAACCTGTGTGATCTTTGATCATTTTTTTATCAGCTACCCAGACATACTACATAGTTCTAACTGTATTAACAGTCTTTCTTCTGCAAAATGGAGGTTCCAGGAGCAGCAGCAGAACATGTAGTAGAATTTAAGATTCTTTTTATGATGTAGAGGTAATGTCATACTTTGGAATGCCAAAGCTTGGGGATTCTGAAGTTACAATTATGCCTTTTTCTCTCAGATGTTTCGTCAATATTCTTTATATTCTTGCAGTATGGAAGCATCCATGGCACATATTAGGTATTATTTGGGTGGATGAATTTGATGAAAGAAAGGTATCCTGGGTAGCCAGTCTCTGGACTTTTGTTGCTTGATCCTTGGGAGTTAGCATTGCACACTGAAACATCATAGGCTTTAAAGTCAAAGATCTCAGCTCACATCCAGGGTTTGACATGTACGTAACTCTCTGAGCAAAGTTTCTTTGTTGTATGTCAGGTTCCTTCTCTGTAAAATGTGGATAGCAATAATATCTGCTTTGGGGTCCTTGTTGGAAAAGAATAATGGAAGTTATACTAAAGTAGCTGTCACAATATTTGGCTCCTAGTAAATGGTGGCCATCTTTGAAAAATATCAGAGTACTGTGCTATGGGATAGGCATTTATTTTGACAGTGCTGTTGACTCCATAGTCTGTGATGTGTTCTTTATTTTGGAGAGAATGATCCATAAAGCCAAAAAAAAAAAGAGAAAAAAATAAAGAAAGAAAGAACACATGGTCTCTACCACAGGAATAAGGCTTTTTACCTGACTTGCTTGAAAGAGATGAACTGGGTAGGCAGGAGAATAGAGACAGGCATTGTCAAACTGTCAGAGTAAAATATATTTCTCACTCTGATCTGACAGGTCTCTACAGCCTCTGGTGTGAAAGGATGGTACACATGTCTTTGAGCCTCTCTTTTCCTAGATTTTTCCATCCTAGGTATTCCACAGCACCCTGCTTTTTAGTCCTAATTGCAATGATTAAAGACATAACTCTCGTGAAGGCAATAATCTTGATGTCTGCATTAGATTAAGGATAGCCACAATTTCTTTGACTCTTCTCACAGAGAGGCTGACTCTA